AATATTAATTAAAACGGTAAGAAACATAATAATAAACACCAACAAATTTAAATGCCTCCTACATATAAAGATCAAGCTAAGGCATCAACAGTTAAACAAGGTTGTATATAAAAGAAAGTACCGCCCATGAACAGTCTCAATCAAACCAAACCGAGCCTGCAACATTTTCAATTTTGTCGTGTTGGACTTTCTTTAGGGATTCTGTTTGTCTCTATTTTATTGTCATATCCGTGTTAGTTGTGTCGTGACGCGGCTGTAAAAAGACTCCCCATACATGTTATCAATAATCCTTGAATATCGTTCAGCACGACATTTTTGCTGTGCATACATGTTATGTGGTACTACTTTTAGTTTCTACTTGTTTGCCCTTTTCAACTTTGGTGGTTCCAGTATTTCTTCTTTAATGGTAAAGGTAAAATAATGTATAATCACCCTCAGGATATGTTGCCTGCTTTTTAAATTTGTCTTTTGACGTCTAATCTGTGATATGCAGGCCTCATAACCTCAGATCTATTTTCAAAATTCCATTTTCTTTACATGCGTCTGGTTTCCATCAGTGTCAACCACTTCCTCTGGCATCACATTTCTCTGACTGGGTCCCAGCCGTTTTATGTTATCCAAGAATTCATTTGGATTTTGCGTTACCGTTGTTGCAATATCCTCTGCTATAAAGCGTCTGTATTCACGTTCGCATTGTCGTAGACGCTTATCGAAACGAGCCCTTGCGTGTGAATATTGCAAAAGTTTAACGTCCCGTTGATCTCGGGAACCATAACATTTAATAATTTCATACTCAGATGATGTCACAACATCCAATAATTGGCTTAGCTCGTCGTTCCAATAAGGTTTATTATTTTTGCGTCGTTTATTCATTCTTGAAGATACTTTTTGTACTGGTATACTGTATATTTAACGATGTCACAATATAAAGAGTAAAATATATCAATTTCATCTTGAATCAATCAAAGTAATTACGTCTAATAAAGCATTTCTAGCTCGTTCATTATCCATAAAGACACAAAGTATTTTGTTCAGTTTGTTACTAGGTTCATTTTTACAATTACCGGTTTTGTCTGGCGTGTTGTGTAAAGGATTCGTTTTATCTAATACCTTAACGGTAAAATACCCTTTCAATATATAGTGGTCAGAATAACAAACAACAGGGCCATGATGGCCCTGAAGTCGCTCACCTGTATATAGGCCCACAGAGCGAGGCCAGTTTAAACCCCAGGGCTTTTATTTGAACAAAATTGGTAGACACCCATTACAAGATGTATCATGTTAAACATCTAAGGTCTAGCTCGTTGAGTTTTTAAAAAAAAGATTTTTTAAGTTTTTATTATACACGTATAGTTAAAAGCAATGACATCCCTAGGGCGGGGCCAGTTTTGACCCCAGGGCTTTTATTTGAACAAACTTTGAAGACACTCACTAGAAGGTGTTTCATGCTTAATATCTAAACTCTAGCTATTTCTTTTTATTCAAAGAAGATTTTTAAGTTTTTGCTATACACATATAAGGAAAATTAATGTCCCCCGGGGCAGGGCCAATTTTGACCCTAGGGCTTTTATTTGAACAAACTTTGAAGATACTAACTGGAAGATGTTTCATGCTTAATATCTAAACTCTAGCTATTTTGGTTTTTTCAAAGAAGATTTTTTTAAAAAGCTTTTGCAATGCACATATAAGGAAAATCAATGACCCCCGGGACGGGGCCAATTCTAACCCCAGGGTACTTATTTGAACAAATTTGGTAGACACCCATTAGAACATCTTTTATGCTAAGTATCTTAGCTCTAGCTCTTTGGCTTCTCTAAAAGAAGTTTTTTTAAGTTTTTACTATATGCATATAGGGAAAATCAATGACCCCCTGGGGCGGGGCCAATTTTGACCCCAGGGCTTTTATTTGAACAAAATTGATAGACACTCATTAGAAGATGTTTCATGCTAAATATCTTAGCTCTAGCTCTTTGGGTTCTTTAAAAGAATATTTTATAAGTTTTTACTATATGCATATAGGGAAAATCAATGACCCCCTGGGGCGGGGCCAATTTTGACCTCAGGGCTTTTATTTGAACAAACTGGATAGACACTCACTAGAAAATGTTTCATGCCAAATATCTAAGCTCTACCTCTTTGGGGTTTTTAAAAGAAGATATTTTAAGTTTTTTTTCTATCGGTTGCCATGGCAACCAGAGTTCTGCATAGAATTAAATTCGTTGAACAATTTTTAAAGGTGACTACCAAAGGAACATTCCTGTGAAGTTTGGCTCAGCGGTTTGTGAGGAGATGCCATTTAAAGTAAAAGTTTACGGACGACGGACGACGGACGGACGGACGGGCGGACGCCGTGCGAAAAACGATCACAAAAGCTCACCCTGTCACTTTGTGACAGATAAGCTAAAAATGACTCCAAGCAATTGTAGTTATCTTGGGGTACACACATTTAGTCTACTTAAAATTTTCCTTTATGAAATACATGTGTAATTTTCGAATCATTTAGAAAATCAACAAATTCTCTACAATGCTGATTAATACAGTAATCTATACTTTATCGGGTAGGTATATGATCGATATTTCCAAGAATGTCTGACATCAGTACAAATAATCATAAAGTCAATGTTTTTGTACAAATATATCAATAATTAAATATGTGAAAAGAATTATTGAGCATTTCTACCAAAATGGAGTTTTCAAGGTGTACTAGTAAGTTACATGAAAATAATAGCACATTGTTGTATAATGATCGATTTTTAAATTAAATAAGGAAAACACCCTCATATGATATATCAGGAATATTTACATCGTATAACTAATACATCCAAATGTTATTAATACACCAACACCTCCTGAACTTTTTGATGCGTTTTTATCAATATGACTTCTGATAAGTCCTAACAAAACATAGTTATCAATTTCAATAACGTTATCGTTAATCGTAACGTTATCGTTTATAAGATGTGTTTCACATACAGAAACAATATAAACGTCAATGGCATTAATAAGAGCACATCTAAATTTATGGTTGTTTGCCGTCCATCCACAAACGTTAAAATGCGCGACCCTTAAATTGCCTTGAAGAAGGGTACTGTTCTACTGTTCTAAACGTCATGATTGTCCAGGTCAGAATGTCGTTGACGACCATTCGCGTCCACCCGGAAGCTGCGCCCATTAGGCATCTCACAAAGTAACGTATGAGTATTGATCTCAATCAGTCTTTCAGCATGTGATTTACTGCTCTTTAGTAATGTTCTTTTGTAATGTTCACTCTTATTTAGCCTCATTTTATTTATTGATATCTGAATTTTTTTCATCCTTAGAGGCAAAACTTATCTTGACCAAGGGCTAACTAGTCATATGAAAATCCTACTCAAATATTTTTGCAATAAGAAAAATATAATTACATTTTAAAAACATTTTATAGAATTAAAAAAAGACAAAATGAAACAATAATTGATAACTAGTAAGACATTCTTAAGAATCAGAAAGATATCGTTAAAAAACGAGAATTTAATGAAACAATCGCTTTTAACGACTTTACATATAATATAAAAAAACTAACAGATGTATAAAGCCAAAACTTAGAGAGTGAAATAACTAATGAGGAGTCATTATTTGATCTAAGAAAAGTGTCAAACAACAAAAGTCCAGGCTAATCTGCGTTAATAAAGTGCTTTGAAAAAAGTGGGACATTTTATTCAAAGAACTCTTTATGCACTCAGTTGTCCATTACTCAAACATAAGGAAAAATTAGGAATACATGTTAACCCAAAAGGGATAACCTTAACATTTTACTAAAAATTGGAGGCCCGTAATTTTGCTACATACTATATATAAGATTGGAATTAGTTTTTCTGCTGCGTTGATTAGATGCTGTAAAGTTATATGTATTCCCCAAACCTACCCCCCCCCCGAAAACTTATGGGAGGGAAATTGTATTTGTAGCATCCGTCCGTCCTTCCGTCTGTCCAGCTGTCCTTCCATACGAACTTTGTCCAGTCCATAACTTTGTCATTCATATGGATTTTGAAATAATTTTGTATAATTGTGAAGCACATAGGAATAATGTGACAGTTGCAACATCTATGTCTGGAGACAAAGATTTAAATCAAACTTCAACATCAAATTGTAAATGAAAAAATGACGTTCGTGTCCAATTAACAATTTTGTCATTGACTCATTGTTAGGTGGATTTAAGAATAATTATGCATGAAATGTTAGACACAGTGACGAGGTGTACAGCGAAAGAATAAGGGCCCTACTTACCTCAAAGGTCAAATTCACACTTGTAGACCAAAAGTTATGGTATCATTTTTTATAAAAGTACACATATGACTATATCCGGCCAATAATTCCGTCACTGATGGATAGAATTAAGAATTTTTATGCTTCTTAAAAGTGTTGGACATATGACGACGTGCAGAGAGCAAGAAAATTTAGTCCCTACCTCAAAGGTCAACGTCGCACTTGTAGAATATTTCTTAAAAACCTTCTAAACCACAATGGAGAGACTTTTGGATATTTTGTGTGTGACATTACCTTCAAGTCGTTTACTGATATTTATCAAGTCCCATTGGTAATAATTGTCCCTGTTACGAAAGTGCATAGGGTTATCAAGACTTTTATATCAAAATTCACATAAAGTACTCTTTAGTGAAGAACTTGCATATCTTGAATGTAGCATTTCCTACCAGACATTTGCAAACTTATCAAAACGTTATGAGTTATACAGCTTTAGTTATAAATTTGAGCTTATTATTTGAAACAATTTTGACTTTTACAGCAATGTATCTTAAGTGAGCGATGCAGCGCCATCCTTTTCGAGTTTTGTAATGTATGTCTGCTTGATGTTGTGCTTATCCCCAAACAGTTGCAAAATTGAGGTCATTCAATCTATCAATGTTCACAAATGTATGCACTTTGATGCTCTCTTTTTGCACTTACGCATCTTAAGGTCACGGTCACAATGACCCTTTAACATATACATAAATATTTTTTATTTTGCCTATAAATTAAACATGCTTCAAGTAAAGAATTATACATAAGAATATATTCTTTTTACAGATAATCATGGCGGACAAGTATTATAGGCTTGTGTGTTTTCTAGTTAACATTACTCCCCGACCACTAAGAGAGTTATTCCTTAAGTACACGTGGACGGACCCAAAATTTTCAACTTGTTCAACCATTGATGCTTGTCTTAAATTAATGAAACATCAGCTTTACCTTTTAAAGAAGAAAAAAATAATCAGACAGAAACAATGGGAACTCCTGTTTCCATCAACACCTGGTAAGGTGGTAGATGAAACATCTTGGGACATAACTCTGGTTATTATATTAATAGAGGAATTTCACGGAAACAAGCTTCAACAGGTAGAAGAAGACGCTATTTCCAAGATACGAGGAATTCGAAATCGACTTCAGCACTTTGCTGAAACTTCAATTGATGATGCAGACTTTGACAATATGTGGACAATTTTAGAATGCGCAACCATTGATATAGCTAAGCAAATACAACCTTCACCTATGTACGTAAACGCTATTCAAGGAAACATTAACGAAACCAAAATTAATAATCTGCCGAATCTCGGAGATTCTTTACGTTACCTATATGAGACTATTATAATTCAAATGAAATCTGACATGGAAGATATGAAAGAAATCATGGAAGAACTTGCTGAAAAATGTAATGAATCTCGAAACATTCTTCTGAACACAACTGAGAAGCGTGTTGGACCAACTGGTATTATAGTTACTCTAATATTAATTCATCCTGGCATTATATACTCCATCGCAATGATTATTTTTTAATTTTTATTAGATTATTTTTTCTTAATTCGTCCAAAGATATGATTGGATATAACTCGTGTGTTAACATGGGTTTGCAGTTGCAAAATATATGAACAAATATGCAATCTAATTAAGAAAACAGCAATGAATGGAAGCGAAAGGATATCATTTTGAGCTTAAAACGCAAAATCATGAGTAAAAACAAATGATTGGTTTGGATTGCAAGATGGTAGAAAATCTGATTCAAAGCAATGTTATTAATACCTAAGATGGTCCCAATTATTTTTGTTTTAAAAGTGTTTTAAAAATTCCGAATTTATTTTTGTTCTTTTATAGGTGAAAAAGTAAAACGAATGAAAACAGTTGACCATATTCTTAAAAGACTAAATGGTATGTGGAATTCAAGTAACCTAAAATCAATTATAAACCATGGCTTCAAAACTTACAAGTGCCTTACTAATTTGTTATATATTTAACGTACTTATGCTGTGTTTTGTAATTAAACAACTTTGATCCGTTTAAAATAAGTTGAATATTTATTGTTCATTTAATATTGACAGGGTAAAGTAAGATGTATAAATAAATAAATATATTCATTAATCTGTTCATTTATAAATCATTTCGAAAGATTAAAACAAATTTTAGAATATTAACTTTCTCTACAAATGCATCGCCTAAATAAGAGACAAATCATTAAATAAAATATTTCCATTAAACAGTAAAAATACCATCATCCTATTGTACAACTTATTCATTTCTGAAATGATTTGTCAAAATTACATTAATATATGTGTCATTAATCCTCATTAAAAAGAAAAATAAATACGTTTTTAAATTTTTATTCATGTTTCAAGACAATTTCACCATGTCGATGAAAGAGGACTTGCCAAATAACTTCGATAGTCCACCGGAAGTCGCTGATATCAAAACAAAGCTGCGAGATGTTCACCACGTCGTTGTTACAGGGTCAAGGGGTAGTCGGTATATCGAAGCTGCTCTAGCTTCATTACAAAGTATGGACTACAATCATAATCGATGTGTTGAAATGAAAAATTCGTGTGACTGGCGACACATAGACCCGGATGAAGTGGATCTTGTATTATGCCGAGAACCTTTTGGCGACTATGTGTTTGATAAGGACAAGACAAAATCTATGGCAGATATATTCAGTAGTATGCTACAAGTTGCAAAGATTTCTGAAAAGTACAAGAACATAGATATTGTGATCGTGTCCGAGAAGGAAATACTCCAGGAAGTATTAAAGTTCACGGAACATGACCTTCTTCAGGAAGTGGTAGAAGTTTATCAGCCTACAACGGAATCAGATCCAGCAGATCTAACAGGTTAAATGTTCTTTTTGTACTTATGTACTTGGAAGTCTGCCACTTTTCTAAACGATATGCAATTGGATCATGGTTCTTTTATTGATAATACTCTGATTGGATAAAACAGTTTAATATTTCTATGATACAGCAGAATAATAAAGATTGAGAAATAAGATTTATTAACGAGTTACATATAGATAAAACAATATTGTTTGTGTCTGAACATGTACAGAAAAAGTTGTTGATTATAAAACATAAGTTAAATTTACTTCTTATACTTCGAATAGGTACATGTGGCAATTCCGAGATGGATTTTGATCAAGCAACACGGAATCAGCTGGGTAAGAGAAAACAAATCTATTATTTATATATCAGTTAAGTTCATTTACGAAAAAAATCAACTTAGTTTTCGATTTCCGCTTGAATTGCAGAATTATAAGTAACAGGTAAAGTAAAATGTTCAAAAGAAATCTAAAAGCATAAACTACATGTAATCAGTTAGATAAGTAACAATAAACCAACAATAATGGCATTAATTAATGTTTCAATATTTTTCGATAAAAACAATCAATGAATTACTTTAAAAGTAGATTCAATTCAATTCAGGGGCTCATTGACATGCCGGGTCAGAAATTTTTTTTTGAAATAAATTTTCCATTTGATGTTGGTCTAGACCAATATTTTCTTGTAAAAATTTCAGATCATTTGCTCTTTTCGCGCAATTTGTTTTTTTTTTCCAGAAAATGTCGATCAAACAGTGTGCCATGATAAATCTATATGCATGCCTATGTACTTTCGGTATATTAATTGTTCAATTCAACAAATGATTAGAAACTCTTGATTTTAATTTGCACTTCGATAATGATTTGAAGGCAATATGTACAATCACTTTCGACCATAATCTTCTAATTCGATACCATTTATTACTGGTGTTACAATTTCAGGATACAATTTTATATGTGGTTTGTGTAGTTATGTGCTTTAAAATATTCTAGAATAAACACCAAAAGGAATGTGGTATAGAATTTTCAACATTTAATAAAAATGAATATCATGAGAGAAAAAAATATTTTTTCAAACAAAAATCGTTTCAGATTTAACTGCGGTATTTGTTGAGCGGTACAAAGATGACAACCTGCATCCCGCTAGTGTTGTAAATGAGGCGAGAACGACATTTAAGAGAGACAAGGTTATTGTTATAACAGGGCCGAGGAAATGTGGAAAGACTACTCTGGCTGTAACGCTAGCATCAAGGTACCAGAAAAACCAGTTTCTGGTTCTCAACAAACCTGATGACATGAAACTAATAAGGCTTGGCTGTATTTGTACTGTATTAGTTGAGGACTTTGCGGGGAAAGGCAGTTACAATGGTACCTATGCAGAAGCTTGGTTAAGAGAATTTGAACTGCTGTTCAGTGCCGTATGTTCTGGAAAGCTAAATGTTATTATAACGTGCGAGAAGAGAACACTTCTTAAATGCAATGAGGAAAACGGTCCTCACCCAATTCTCAAAAACACCATCGTTCTCGAGCAAGTCAGCAGAACTGTTAAGCAGGAATCAACTAGTACTGGTACTATTTTTCATGGTTTTGTATTTTTGTAATAACTTTTTAAATAATTACAGTGACAGGAATTTAATGTTATTAGTATTTAAAGATATTTTTTGTAAGTAATATTTGTTTGAGTGGATATCATTTTTCACAATCTTATTTTCATAACAAATATACATTTACAGATTTCAATGACACAGCCGCCATTGCAACACGTACTGTACAAAGGTGTTCGTTCAGTATGGAAACGTAAGTTGAGAGTTCATTTTTTCGTTTATCCAATTGTTACTTTTAGATTAGTATTATTTCTCCTGAACTAAAACTTCTGTAATCAAAAATTTGATGAAAAATCAATTATACATAAGTGCAGTGTGACGCCGCATTTTTATACGCCCGAAATAATATCGGCGTATATTGTTATGCACTTGGTTGTTCGTCCGTCCGTCTGTCCGTCCGTCCGTCTGTTAAAGGGTTGTATTTTTCGGTCTGTATTTTTTGAACCGGTTGAAGGAAATTCAAAGTACTTGGCAGACATATTTACCATAATCAGACATATTTACCATAATCAGAAGATGTGCAGAGCGAAGGTTTGACCTTTCTCATGTCAAGATCAAGGTCTCACCTAGTCATTTTGTTTTAATATCAAAATGTTTTGTCCGCTTTTAATCTTTTGAACCGATAAAAAGAAATTAAAGCTTTTTGGCATACATATTACTTATATTGAAACGGTGTGCAGAACACAAGTTTGAACTTCCTAAAATTAAATTTGACCCCGCCCCGGGGATACATTGATTTACATAGACTTATATAGGGATGTTCGTGTCTGGTCTGTATCTTTTGAGCCAGTGAAAAGAAATTGAAACTATTTGAAATGTTGTTAATCATAATGAGATGATATGCAGAGCGCAGTTTTGGACTACCTCAGATCAAGGTCAAGGTCACACTGACTCATTCAAAATACTTATTTAAAGTGTATATATTACAAAAGGAGTTGACAATGTATGAATTTATTGATATGTTTCCTCCAAATATATACATATATATATATATGAACATGTATTAACCTCTCTTTATTTTTATTACTTTATAATGTTGTTGTTTTTTTTTCTTTTCAAACTTTATTTTTTTAGATTTTTGTTTCTGTTAAGATTAAAATAATTAAGGACCTTTTATTGGTTTCTATGATTTAATTATTTTTTAATGAGACAATCTTATTAATTGAAATTGATGTTACTTGAGATATGTAAATTCACTAAATAATAATAAGTTTTAAATGAGGCATATAAAAAGTCAAGTAACAAATCCAAGATCTCAGTTATTTGGCATGTATTATTACACAGAAGAACCCTGCTATTTTTTCCAAGTATCATTTCTCTGATATTATAAAATGGCTGTGCCCAGAGGGTTAGAATATGGGCAGGTCTGACACAGTTTACGTGTACACAGATTTGTATAGTACGCATGTTTTAAAAGTCTTTTCCTCCACTTTACAACATGCAGAGCATAAATATTTAGCTTGTATCATCACTTTTTAAAAGTAGAATTATTAGTTTTGTGATGAATGTTTGTGTGAGTATTGACGTTATAAGTGTAACGGGAGGTTATAAAAAGAAGAAAATTAGTTGTAAGCATTTTATTATTTATATGCACAATATTTTGTGCTTCTGAATTTCTGATATAATATCATTTTATGTTTCTTTGAATTGTTATCATTTAAAATCAACAATATTGTTGTTTTCTGTCAGTATATATACTCCGTGACAATTGCATTGAGATAATTAATCACCATAGTAGTTTTTAAGGGCATGAGTGGTGACATGTCAGGGGTATGTTCTCCACAGCCGAAGGTGTGGCATATACAATTGTCACTAAGTATTCATGTGACAAGAGCATATCTCTTTGACATGTATCAATATAGATCTCAATATTGATAATTGAAATAAAACATGTTATGAACAAATTTTATAAATGGTATCCTCTCTGTTGAACATTATTTTTGACAACTTTAAATTTTATTTACTTAAAACAAATTTGCATTCGGACGTATATTGCCACGCTATGCTGTGTTCTTGTTTATTCTGCCAAGGTTGATATTTTTGAACATTGATAAATTAGATTTGTCATCAAAATGGTCACCAAATATTGTTAAAAAGTATTACTTTATAACTTCATAGAGAATCATTATTAATAACAGACATTAAGTTGTGATTATAAAATTTAAACAATTACAAAAACAAACATTTTCATTCTTTAGAAATAACAACTTTGTTTCCAACGAATCAGACCACGTTGAAAAGAGTACACACTCTTCAGACGCATTCAACAACATAAAAGACACGTGTTCAATGAATGAGAACACTATTCTTTGTCTAAATTCAACTGGAACAGTCTTAAAGCTTGACAAAGAGCTCGATGTCGAGGCAACGTTTTTAACAGAACAACAAACGGCTTTTGAAAGGATATGTTGCTTAGATGATGATAGGTTCCTTCTTGTGAATGGCAAAGAAGTTTCTATATATGAACTGAAGTCAAATGAGATTCACCTCATAACGACAACGATTCTTGACCACGAATCTGACTTTATAGCAAAGGGAAAAAAAGGAATGATAACAATCTTAAACAAGAACATCATATACGAGTACATGTATGACGGTTACTTTGAATTACAGTTTAAAAAGCTCCTTCCTATGAAACCATTGATGGACAGTTTCGTAACAGACGCGTCCGTCATATCTGAACGAAATTGCGTTATCGTTGTAAAACAGGGTTCCATTCAATCGATAACATACAAAGAAAAAAGGACAATTGAACGAGTACTATATTTTGAAAGAAATGAAATTCAACCAGTGGCTGTTTGTGCTGGAAAGGAAGTTGTACTTATTCTTTGTCTGCAGAACAATCAGGCGAAAGTTTTGAAGTTTGGAATTGATCTTGAGAAACTTGGATCTATCAGGCTTGACGAGGTTGCATACAGCCCATTCAACGTCTCATCAATGATGTATGATTCAAACTTATCCAGACTTCTTATCACATACAGCGGAAAACTTGACGCTTTCGTAGGCGGTAAGATTCGTTGTTCCTTCTTCTTACAAACTGGGCGTTAAATTATGAAATCAGTCGTTTGCCCAACGGTTTATGGAGATAATTAAAACGTTTTATGAGACTAGGGTTTAAATTTCAGTGTATTTTATTTTTTATTCACATTTTACTTGCAAAGAATTTGTATCATAGGTACATTATTTTTCCTTATCCTGCAACAACCTGATACCATTATGATCATGTATATTATAATTGTTGGCCCTTGTTTGTCCAAAATCGGTACATTTTGTATAAATAGTGGATATTTCTTTCTGTAATGATAAGGTCTGATCCCATCATGAATTATAAAGTCGTGGCCCTTCAGTAGGTTAACTTTTTTTTAGTTTCCTTGTCTGCATGATATGGTGGCTGATTTGTGCCACTCGTGTTTTCCGCGATCCAGCCAAGCAAAAAGTCGAGAATTAACAAGTTATAACGGCGGGGTTGCGGGACGAAAACACGCTAAATAGTCAGGGTGCGGGACGTAGTTTAATAACTAAAACTTCGCCCCGCGTGGGCGCGGGACGAGATTTAAGAAATAAAACGGCGGGGTCGCAGAGCAAAAACACGCTTATTAGCGCCCCCGCTAATTAGCGGATTTCGCTCCGCGCCCGCGCCATTTTAACTTTTAACATATCGACTTTTCGCTTAGCGGGGTCTTGGGACGAAAACACGCTAATTAGCGGGGGCGCGCGGCGAATTTTTATTTATTAAAACCCCGTTATATGTAAACCCCGTCGTTTTATTTCTTAAATTTCGCTCCGCGCCCCCCCCCCCCCCCCGGGCCGAAGTTTTATTTATTAAACTTAACCCCGCGCCCTCGCTAATATGCGTGTTTTCGCCCTGCGCCCCCGCCATTTTAACTTGTTAATTTTCGACTTTTCGCTTGGCGGGGTCGCGGGGCGAAAACACAAATGGCACAAATCAGCATGACGACAGTTTTAATCTTAAAATCAATAACTTGCATATGTCTTTAACTTTAGCTCATCGCAGTTCACACACATTTCTTAACGTAAGCCATAATGATACCTCGATGTCCGTTGGCCGTTGCCAGTTGCTTCCTCACTTGCTGGATGGCTTTTGATGAATCTGTACGGACTTAATACTAGTACTTAGAAAGTCCTTTGCTTAGCTTCTGCTTTCGGTCAAAATCTATAATTATTGTTATGTTGTTATTTACACATGTACAAATATTCTAAATAAAATATGTTTAAACCAACTTGCTTAAATGCTTTCAGTCCGCTAAACAAAATTGCTACCACATCAAGAAATACATAAATTCTTTTAAATGACACCTTCTCAACTACTTTGTAGATTTTGATTAAACTGCATAAAGAAAAATCCATAGGTAATCCTTTAATAATAATAAAAGTTACTCAAATGGTTCTGGTCTGTTGAGCAAGGAACATCTTGGTAAGGTAATTTTGTCTTAAAAGATCATATCCTCTGGTAAGCTGTTAAGTGCCAACGAGACCCTTTTGTTGACGGCTTATATTTTCTAACTTTTTGACCTTATTTTAACTACTTTTTAAAATGAATTGAATGTGTAACAAATATGTATCGGTTTAACTTCTTTTGAACGAGTATATTCCTTATGCATACAACAAGCGTTTCGGCCCTAAATGGGTCGAAATTGATAGAAATATAGGCATTTTCATGATATAAAAAGTATTTTTTCTCTAAAACCCGACATCATATACATTCATATACATATATAATTTATTCTATTCAGTAGTAGTCATCACAAAATGGCAAAATAATCAATATTGTTTATGCGCCAAGTTTTTTATATGTATTATTTCAGGGTTCCAACTGACAGACAAACAGGATAGTAAAAGGTACGTCAAGGAGTTTCAAAACATCTTTTGTTTTTTAGATTAAATTATAATATCGTTATATAAATCCTAGTTATGGCCCCATTCAAGAACAATATTCGCAAATAATGGTTGGTATGTCTGCCGGACTGGCGGTAGCTATATAGAATTATAGATCACTGCTTTTCTGGTCAGTAACTGAATAAAATTCCTGATTGCGTCTCTTTTATTCAATTTGTTTAATCTCATTGCTTAATAGCCTTATCATTACTTCTACTCAACACTACTGTTTAGAAATTACCAACATGTAAATAAAACTACCATTTTATGTATTAACCTAAGATTGCTTGACAATACACATATATACAATTTGTATCTGACAATGCATTGTGTTACAATCATGTCATGCTGTAACTGGTCATAAACTAACCGACAACAGCAAACGGCCATTTTTAATTGTATGGGTCGTCAGACAAATCAAATAATGGTAGCGAAATTTCAGACCCTGATGCCGAAAGTAGACCGCTTTTCTGAAGCGGTTACTTCCCTTTATATGTACACTAGCGCCTAAAAAATTCAGGGGAGATCACTGCGTAAAGATGATCTAATGACAGGCGCATTAATTTACAAGCAAAATAGTTCCCGAATGGTCGACGATTTCTTAATAGTGTTTATTATTTATAGATATATATGCTGATAGTAAGCTCCATGATTATTTACATCTGTGTTAAACAACAGTTAGCATCGAAATAATAAGGGTTACAAACCCTTATTTAGAATAATATGGTTTTCTTCAGGCCGTTAACATATAACTTCACCGTGGCCGAGGGGTTTGCGCGCTCGCTTATGAAGCGAGAGGTCTGGAGTTCAAATCCCAGTTAAGGCAACTCTGATTTTTTCAAATTGTTTAAGTCAAATAAACATTGAACTGAATATCAGTGTTGCGATTAGTCTTTTAGCCAATTTACTACAATTAAAACGCTGGAAAGCATTGGTGGCACTATACAAAAACGAATTGGTTTATAACCTCACAACCTTCACCTTTCTGACATACTGAGACCCAAACAAATTCAGCGCCTTCTTTGCTTTGATTATCAACCGCTTCTGCAGCGAATACTCCACCGCCGCTGCGATTGACCAACCGCTTCTGCAAAAGCTATGGCCAGTGTGGAAATGCATGTTATTAGATAAAATCACGATTGCATGTACATGTATTTTCCAAATTTGATTAAGAAATAATATCAGTCTGTGAGGTGTTTATCGGCTTTTTAACCACCGGTTTGGAATTGACCACGAAGGCCGTAGGCCTTAGAAAATATAACAGCCGCAAATACAAGTAGTAAACAGTGTTTATTGGCAGTTAAACACCTGGGTTTTTTCTTTGTCTATAGTGACAAAATCACGAGGAGTGTTAGAATTATTATTTCATGTAACAAAATGGGTTAATTTATTTTGTAAAAGTTAACAAAAAGCACATTTGTAGTTGTCATTCTTTTTAGACATCAATCTAGGACAAGAGGAAAGGAAAGCTTAACTGAAAAAACGACTTTTAGAAAATATTTCTTGAAATGTTTCATCTTATCTTATGACAATTAGCTAAATATCTGCTTTTGTGTCAGTCGTCCGCCGTTACACAACAGCTCCTTCTTATACTCTATTAATTTTGTAAGCTATGTATGCATTCCACATTTAAATAATATGTATTTTGACCTGACGATATGAAGACATCGTCAGGTTATGTTTACCACTGTTATTTACCTTTCTTGAACTGACCAGTTTTGGTGTCATAGTCGTGACACCGGGTAGGGTTGGAATCTATGATCCTTGGATGTAGAGACAGACTCATTAACCACTAGGACACCAATGCCTTTCATGCAGTACAACTTAGTTGTTTAAAGTCTGAGTGACTGGCTTCCCTCACTGGTGGTTACTTTGCTGGATTTGATCCGCTCTATCTCAAGATCTCTTTCGTTCATCTGTAGCTCAAATCTTATTTTCATCTGTCTTCTTTCTTCTTCACGCCTTCGGGCTCTATCCTCTCTGGCTAGGCACTCTTCTTCCTTCTCTTAAAGAAACAATAAATCGCTGCCGAATAACCCTAGCTTTTCTCCTATTCTTAATCATTCGTCATAATACATATTGCTCAGATCATCAAAATCTCAAAAAAGTAATTCCGGACGAGCCCAAAATTGTCAATTTGTGGTTTAACTTCTGAGCGGTACTTGTGATTATTACTTACGAATTGCTGCACTTCTTAGACTTGCTGCAATATAAGACTTGCTGCAGTATTGGACTTGCTACAGTATTGGACTTGCTGCACATTTGGACCAGCTATTCTTCTTAAACTTGCTGCGCGCCTTGGACTTGCGGCATTATAAGACTTGCTGCAGTATTAGACTTGCTGCACTATTGGACAAGCTAAGCTTCTTAGACTTGCTGCAGTATTGGATGTGTTACAGTATTGGACTTGCTACAGTTTTGGACTTGCTGCACTATTGGACGTGCTCCACTTTTGGACTAGCTACTCTTCTTAAACTTGCTGCGCGCCTTGGACTTGCGGCATTATAAGACTTGCTGCAGTATTAGACTTGCTGCACTATTGGACAAGCTAAGCTTCTTTGACTTTCTGCAGTATTGGATGTGTTACAGTATTGGACTTGCTACAGTTTTGGACTTGCTGCACTATTGGACGCGCTGCGCTCCTAAGACTTGATTCTTTTCTGGGAAGCGGACCGTTCCTAAGAATTGCTTCTTTTCTGGGAAGCAGACCGTTCTTAGACTTGCTTCTTTTCTGGGAAGCGGGTCCGTTCTAAGACATGCATCTTTTCTGGGAAGCGGACCGTTGCTAAGGCTCAACTCTTCACTAGAGAGTCGATCGTTTTCTAGACTTGCTGCTTTATTTGGTTTCTTCACTGGACCAGTAAGTTGCTAAAAATAAGCTTTCCGGCAATATTTGAAGCTCCTTTTGAATTCGATTTTTTTCTTCTTTTTTTGTCCAATTTCATTTCATTCAAATACGCAACGCGTGAACCGGATAGAACGCTACAATAGTAACGTTACGTCAAAACAAATAAATATACAAAATGGCGGATATTTGTATTCCTTTTATAAATAAAATAGGTATTTTGAAAGGTTTGCTAATGCTGTCGGACCGTATATGTCACGGACCGAATGTGGCACACGTGTGACATATTCGGTTCGAATTTGTCACACGTGTGATATGTTCGGTCGAATATAGCAGACTCTTCTGCCGAAAATGGAACATAAAATGTGCCATATTCGGTTGCATTTAGCTTTTCATACTCACCAAAAGGTATTTGTCACTTACCAAAAATGCGCATAAAATGAAAATACGAACGTATACTTCACATGTGCTTTTTAATTAAATATAGCTGATTTCAATAGAACCATTTATTAAATATGGTGCTGCTGCTGCTGCTGCTGCTGCTGCTGCTGCTGCTGCTGATGATGATGATGATGATGATGATGATAATGATGATGATGATGATGATGATGATGATGATGATGATGATATTTTGGCAGAGGAGATAGCATAGATATTTTAATGTGTATAAAAAACTTTTAAAAGTTTATAAAAAAGAAATATTTCACCGAATTTTTTAAAAGTGTAAGTGCTTATTTGTAAAATGTTTAAAATACTTATATTGGCTTCCAAGTCGTTAATTTGTACGTTATTTCTCTGATAAATTAATTCATTAATAATTCCGTTTTAAAATACAATGTTATTGCTAAAGTTTGCATGGAAAGAAATTGTTATGTTTGGTGTTAATGGCATTCTTTTCCTCCATTTGTTTTTTTGTTATATGAAAAAATCATTACTTTGGTAAAATCATTAAACAATATGCCGCAATTAATTTGAACATCTGAAGTCGTCTTTGACGAAAACAGTCGCAATATAAAGTTATTTTTGTCATACGACATTTAATAAAGATACAAATTGTATGTTTATCATTATTTTACCATTTTCTCATTTCACAGTGCGAAAAAGTGAGGAATTTGAGTAAATGAAGGTTCAATACTGAATTTATTGAAAGAGTATAATAAAAGTTCCTTGCACATCAGTTTTCTGGTGATAACACCGGTGCTTTATAATTTAATCTTACACCAACCTGTACGCAAACCTGAGTGCTTTAAAATGGCGTAATTCCTTTCCTTTTATGAATGAATGAAGTGCTAAGGATGACGTTATTTCGTCGTAAATATTCAAACACTGCTATAAATAATAGAAAGAGCATCGAAACACGAAGCTTATGATTAGTCAGATTGCCGAGTGTTTTGATGTTCTTTCTCTTTTGTTGCATAGCCAACAGTAACCAATGTACGATCATCTAAATTTTACATTTCTATCGTTATCCCTTTCCTTATCGACACAATAAGTAAAGCCCAGAAAAATTAGCCTATCAAAAAGCATAAATTTTCATATCCCCAACAGACAGTGCGTAACTGGAGTGCAGGTACACAACATGCATGTAATCACATGATGTTGTAATAGATTGGAGTTCACTAATAACTAATATATGCACTCCAGTTAACATTTCATAATATTCACACTGGCGATAGCTTTCGCAGAAGCTGTGGGTCCATCGCAGCGGCGGTGTAGTATTCGTCGCAGAAGCGGTGGATAAAATACGGCCAAGTTTAAAGAAATACTATAGAACAGTTTTAATTTTGCCTATATGTCTATATGAAAACTCAGGAAAACGTCCATAAGTTCGATTTTCTTGAAATACTTCTGCTCATCTAGAGGCATACAAATTTATCAAGTTACACGAATGTATTAAATGTTTATCAATGTTATAGTAAACATACAATTAAAATATAAAAATACCCAACAGATGAATGCGATCAACGATTTCTTCCCTTTATTTACATTGAAATACATATCAAAACAGACATCGGACTTCATATCATTTATCATAGAAATAATGATAATGTTGTTGAAAGTGATCAAACCAAGCTGATTTTGATAAGATAATAAAAAAAAATCTATAACAAATGTGATGATTATAATAAATTTAAAATGGAAGTTATGATTATAATGATGAAATTGATGATAATTATGATCTTGATGATAATGATAGGAGTAATTATGATCTAATGCTGATGATGAGTGTAATGATTAAGATGATTATGCAGTTGATTATTATTTTAATAATGATAATGCTGGTATGCAGGTGTAAATGACTATGCATTATAACGATGCTGATTATGATGATGAAGGTTGATGATGATAAGATTTTAATGATGATAAGAATGGCAGTAATGATGGTTGCGGAGGCAATGGGGGTATGGTTTCGATGAAGATAATTTGGGTGATAACAATTTTGATGACAATAACGTGATATTGATTTTAAAGTGATGAATATTAAGGTTATAATCATTTTGATATTTATAGGTGTTATGATAATTTAATAAGGAAGAGGCATATGATGATGATGTTGATGATGGTGGTAATGATGATGACCAAAATCATCATAATTTGAATAATGATGGACGTGATGATGCTTTTAATGATGATGTTGATGACGATGATGGTTTAGGTGATGTTTTTGATGATGATAGTGGTGAATATTATGATAACGACAACGTTGATTTAACAAAATTCATGACGTGGAGCTTAACGAATATAGCTCTTGTAAGGCGTTATAGCACCACGAGTAATGCTGTCTTGGAGCTATTTCAGTCAAGAGCTAAATGCGCGTACGGTGTAAAACTCGAAGAAAATTCCACTGAAATAGCTCATGATAAAAACGGTGCATAAATACTAATTCTAGATAACAAGCGATAAATTGTTGTTAAGGATATATTATTTCGGTTCAATCACACATCAACAAAAACTATTGCCTGATTTGTTTCAGGACGTTACATTTTAATGGTTTCGTCACATATCAAAATGAAGATCGTCACCGGTAATTTTATTGCAAATTTACACGCACTTTTGGTCCTTCTATATTCAAAAGGGAAAAGATTAGGTCGTGTTAGATATTAAATACTATGCAACACATCGGACTACATAGAGTCATATTGCCCCCACAGTTAGCGTTTAACATTTAATGTTTGTATGCTAAGTGAATGGTGACTTTAATGCCGAGGCCCTCAGTGTTGTTTGCTATATATCTTAAATAGGTAAATTTGATCATGCCTATTTGCATCAAGGTATAATGATGTTGTATATTGGGGAGATGAAGTTAAAGAAAAAAGTGTAAATTTAAGGCGTAGTTATGAAAAAAACCAACCATTATAAGAAAGTTATATTTATAACATGATTATTAACTTCTTATTTAACTAGTATTCCTCAGAGAAATCTCGGATAATTTTAATTTCACTGAATTTAAAGGCATTTGAATTAACAATATATTCTGTGATAAATGTATCGTTAAATGTGACCAAAAACTGTCAGTTTAATAATTTCAGTGTAGAACAATGATCAGTGAAATATCACAGTTAAAAAACTGCAACAATTGTATTCTTAATTAACAACCTATTTACTACTACATTGTCTACACCTTGAAAAAAAAAGATTTGATAAAAGTTCTGTACGCAGAACATGTTTGTTTGATACTATATATTTGGTGTTATACTATATACAGCGTTCACAAAATTAATATGAACCACTTTCGATAACGCTTCCTTCATTTGGCTAATGATAAATACGGTAATTACACGATATAGGGATCGAAATTTGAATTACAGATAAACAAACGTACTACTGGAAAACCTCTGCCCTTTATTTAGTATCATTATTCAAGTACATCTACACAAACACATACCTGTATCATATTTTCTTAAGGGTCTAGAACATACCCATTAATATTTTAATAAGTGATTTTTTAGTTAATAAGCACTTTCATGATGACGTAATTCCAGGAGGTAAACATGTTTTGTATGAATATTAGATTTTAACAACATTTGTCAATAGTACTGTTTTATACTTGTATTTTTATAATATTTCAGTTCGAACACATCAACCTATAGCAGAGTAAAGAAGATCCAATCGCATATAATTAAACCTCCTGATAATGTGACAACTGACACGACGAAAGAATGGTGTCAACATCCAGATGGTTCATTTCTATTCTTAGCTTATATGCCATCAGTTGATGATAATGAAGATGATTCCATCAATACATCTTCGAGAACTCAAACTGTTATTATTCATATCAGTTCAGACTTTGAATACCAATGTTACTACAATACTGATATAACTGAAGGCTGGTATAGTGAAAATCATATCTGCTGTACTGATACTGGGGATGTGGTGATTTCTGTGGATAGCGAAATAGGATTGTACAGAATATCAAGCGGAAGTCTTCAATTCATCAAATCGAAGGATATGAAGTTTGAGTGCAAAAATATTTCCTTCTTCAAGAATAAGATTTACTGTTTTACTTTTGGGACATCATTAATTTTAGATACAAATCTAAATATAAAGAGAAGAGTAGAACTGATGGAATTTCCTGTCGAGAATATTTTACCATGTTCATTACAAAAGTATATCAGTACTTGGGATTATGTTAATGGCGATAGTACTTGTATCATATGTGAGGATCCCAGACTTAAGCAAATAAAATATTTAAGAAAGGAAGGATTTTCACCTCAGTGCACGTGTGCTGCTACTGAGGACAGTGTATTCGTATTTGGGAGACAGGGTGAGGACTTCAGGATTTTACAGGTGAACACTGACTTGACGGTACTCTCAGAAATATTTGTAGACAAAAAAGAGATTGACTGGAATTATGTGTGGGGTGTAGATAAAATGGTGTTTAACAAAGATAATTCCAGATTAGTCTTACCATCACGTTACAAAGAATTAACATATCATACAATTTACTTAGAGTGAACCGATTATATGTCATTTTACCATGTATATTTTTTCACAAACATAGACAGTCTATGCAGTTTCACTGTACTCACCTGCTTTATTCATATCCATGAACAAAAAGATAATTTTAATTTCCTCAAATGTTATAGTTATAATAAAATGCCTTCTTTTTCCAAACACACTGTAGGAAAAACTGTTCAAGAAAAAAAAATATTTCATAATCTATAGATTACCTTATATTTTACAATTCATTAAAGCCAGTTTATCTCAACAAACAAATAAGTGTGTAAAACTGGATAAATCATACTTTAGTCTGTCTCACTAAATTTAAAAATTCATGTTTTACTTTAAATATAATAGTAAGCAGTCTAGTTTAATTCGATGCTAACTCGTAAGGCGTGTTTTTCACTTTTTGCTAAAAGTCAATAATATTTTTAAGATATCAGAATTATATAATTTTCCTTTAACCTACGTTGTAACATGATAATTTCAAAATAAACTCGCACATATTGACGTCAAATTAAGGGTTCGTTCCAAAAAATAGCATGCCATGTTCCCTGGAATTATAAAAATTTGATTTTTTTATTGTTCACTGATAAACATTTCGATGTTATATTAAAAAAATGTTGATGTAAAAAGGCAATTTCTCTTGCAAACAATGGCATTTAAAAATACAAATGTAGTATATTTTTGTGAAAGAGCGTTGACATACAAAAACACACAGGCCATAATACGAATTTTATTGAACTATTTATCAGCTTTTTCTTTACATGACATCTGTATTATACTCTGATGTGACCAAACGGCCTCATTTTCACAACCTGATACATTTATTTCCAACATTCAAATTATTTTATTTTATCTTCTCTACATAGTACTGTAAAAGATACTATTTGCAAAGACATGCATGCTTTCTTGTTGTACGGTTAAGAAGTGAGTATATATAGATTCATTATGAAATATTTGGAATAAAGGTTGCTGGTCAAATTGATTTTGACCTAAAATATGTTTTAATCTTGTTATTTATGCAATGTTCATTTAATATCCATATATTAAAATAAATAGAAAAAAAAAGAAAAACAAATCTGACTTTCTGTTAGCTATATATAGAGAGGATATTCAACGTTTTTTTACCGCCACTCATGAAATATTTATTTTAATACCACTCGATAAAAATTAATCCTGTATTTATAGAAAAACCTAAATTTTCTGTTTATTATATGCGAGTAAATGTTTCTTTAATAAAAATGACAATACAATTTGAAAGACTTCCTGACTGAATTTCCGAAGAAAGTAGTCCAGAAAGACACTAGTGAAAATACGAAAATATGTTTCATTTCAGTAAATTACGAAAATGAAAATACGCATTTTATTTCATCAATATTTCTAAATATTTCATTTGTAAGTTGTAAGTTAATAATAAATTGTTATATACATAAAACAGGAAAAACTAATTTTCTGTTCAATTGTGCTATGAAATTATTACTGATAAGTACGAAGAATTTTTCGCGTGAATGCATATTATGCAATTTCGATTTCTTGTCACCTATAGCAAGGTTTCTACTTTTTGCCTGACTATGTGTATTGATGTTGTTTTTTTTTTTTTTTTTTTTTTTTTTTTTTTTTTTTTCAAAAAGTCCTTTTTAAGGCTTTTGTGCAAATAAAAGATTTTCTTCTTTTTCTTCGTGTAATTGAATACAATTCCACATTTTAAAAGAAAGCACATTCTTTCACATTCTTAAAGTCACGAAACAACTATGATGCGTGTTAGTCATATTTGAGACTTTTTATTATTCTTCAAGCAGATTTAATGTAAATTTGTTAATTTTACATAAATTTTTCTTTTTCTTTTCTTCTTTTTTGTATAAGATACAGAATATACCGTTAACATCGGTTGATATTCAGAAACCTACGAAATAAAAACGAAATGTTATAATAATTCGTAAATACGAAATGATATTTCGTCAAAACGAATTAAATTTTTTTTAGGGTTTCAAAGAGTTTTGGTAATAGTTATTAATAAGGCCTCAAAACTAAGTTCCTGACTGAATATAAGGTATGTAAATGTAATATAAATAGTGATTTTTTCTCCTAAAGTTTTATAACTTAACACTATTGTATATAAATCAAAATAATCGCATGGCAATAGCATTGCCGCGACAGCCGTGGTAGTGCACGCGCTAGGACAATTTTGTTAAAATGGATGTCATGTGCTTTAAATCAAAACACGGACATTTTTCCTGTTTCGTTTAGTCGAAATTATTGAGTTTTGAAATAAAATATTATGTTTTTTATGATCGCACGGTGCCCATACATAAATTGTAAGGAAATATACTTTAATATATCACATTGACCTTGTAGGTAAAACGGTTTCCGATCAATAACTTGACAACCAATAGGTTGTTTGCCCAAGCTTGGTAGGTGCATTGGACTGGACCAGTAAATGACCCCTATTGATTTTGGGATCAAGGAGTCAAAGATCAAGTTTGCATTGGTGTAGGTGAAAACGGTTTCTGATCAAAAACTTGACAAGCTATGGGCTGTAGCCCCTTTAATTTTGTAGGTTCATTGGTCTTGACCAGTAGATGACCCCCTATTCATTGGTCTTGACCAGTAGATGAGCCCCTATTGATTTTGGGGTCAGAGGGTCAAAGGTTAAGGTTGCATCGACCTTGTATTTCAAAATGATTTTCTATCAATTACTGGACAACCCATGGACCTTGACCTTCAAGCTGTACAGATGCATTGCTTTTGGTCATAAGATGACCTCAATGGAGTTTTTAATGTTAAGGAGTCAGAGGTCAAGATCACAATGACCTTATAGGTAACAACGCTTTCTGATCAATATCCCAACTCATGAGCCCTATAACTTCAAACTCATCAGTTCCATTGGTCTTTGCCAGTAGATAACCCCTATTGATTTAAGGGTCAAAGGTCAGTGTCATATTGACCTTGTATGTTAAGACTGTTTCTGACCAATAACTCAACAACTCAAGTTGCCTTGGTTGATATTTTTTATTAAAATAAAAGTATTTTCAAGGTCTTATGTAATATAACATCTTTGCTGTCATTAATGAGGCCTACATGATTCATAAAAATTTATGCACATATTATTTGGTAAGATTTGTAATAACTTTTTCATAAAATTGCTGCACATAACCTTTCGGCCACAATTACCTAGTGACTAGTTCTTACCAGTAATTAACACCTTTTGATTTTTTGGTCACTAGGTAAAAAGTCAGTCATAATAACCTGATCACATGACTTAGTGGCTGCAGATAGGGGGCATAATGTTTTACAAACATATCTTGTTGTTAATAATATTTGTCTTAATTCAGGAAAATTACTTTTCCTGATCAAGATATAGAAGTACCTTCAATCAGTTAAACATTTTTTAAACTTCTTTTGTGTTTATTTTAAGAAAATGCATGCATTTTAACTAAAATGTGTTCAATGGATAGGCTACCATAGTTGATGGATGCTTTTTATAATTTATAATGACTCTAGCTAAATATATCGATAATATGACAATGATTTCCTTGACAACCTCTATTGAATTTATCTTAGAAGGTGTGTGTTTATTGTTAGCATCATGTTTTGCAATATTTTTACTTACTTTGAATCGCATACAGATATACATGGTTTATAGTCCCTTTTTTATTTAATCACAAGCTAATGAATGAATAACTTTACATTGTGAATTATTCAAAAATAAAAAAACAAGTTTTGTGTATAACAATTGTATTGAAGAGTGTTACAAATGTTATTTTAACGTTTGATAAAACACAAAAGCACAAATAATTGTAAAAATACCCATAAAACGAGTAATTAATGATATACATAATTTGTTTATATTAACGCAAGATTAACCAACAATAGATTAAAAATTCATAGAGGTTTTGTAACAGAAGATGCAAAACAAGCATATGTCGATTTAAAACCATTTTATATTATAACATATTATTTCGGATATGTCATCAATATTTAACAGCAGCTGTTACAGGAGACAGCAAAGCTCGGCTAATTAAATACTAGACACAGTAAGGAAGACAAAACTATGAAAGAAAAGTCAATTATGATATAAATATTTTCTTCTTATAACGAGAAGTTATTGTTGTTAACATAAATTCAAAGTTCAAAGAGGAAAAATTCTGGAAATAGTGACACTAGAGATATGGACTTAGTCACACAAAATGTGTGTAATGATAAGCAATATATTTTTGAAGTTTGAAGTAGATACCTTAAAAAGTAAAAAAGTTATCATATTTCTTAAAGGAAATCCTAAGTTCAAAGGGAGATAATATTGCTTCAAGAGTTATGAACCTTGTCACATAAGATCTGGTTGATGATAAATAATAATATTTATTTGAAGTTTGAGGTAGATACATTTAAAACATTTAAAAAAGTTTATAATAGTAAAAATTAACATTTTTAAGTAAACAAATCTAAGTTGACAGGGAGATTATTCTTACAATGTTGGTACTAGAGTTATGAACCTTGTCACATAAGATGTGGTTAATGATAAGGAACATATATTTGAAGTATTAAGTTGATCCCTTAAGAAATAAAGAAGTATCAGTAAAAAATAATATTTTTAAGGAAAATTCTAAGTTCAAGTGGAGATAAATCTGAACATATTGGTGCTAGAGTTATAAACCTTATCACATAAGATGTGGTTAATGATAAGGAACATATATTTAAAGTTGATACCTTAAGAAATAAAAGTAATAGTGAAAAATAGTTTACTGCACCAAAACTTTAATCTAAAATCTCGACGCGGACGCCGACGGCGGGGCGAGTAGAACAGCTCTCCATATACTTCGTATAGTCAAGCTAAAAATGGATTATTCAAATAAAATTTTAAAAAAGTAAAATCCCTTCGTTTACTTTTGTTTTCTATTATGATTTAGTAAAGTACCTTCATTTGAAATAAGAATTAAAACCAAGCAGGTTTTCAGTCTGGTCAAACACTTAAAATTATAAGAACTAATCAAGAAAAGCCCTTGAATTATGTAAGCGAACTTAGTTTGTCAATTAAGCAGTATTTATGTCGAACTACATGATTATCTAAAATTAGCTTCAATCAAATACTTTAATATTCTGGACAAATACAAAACTTTTAGTAACTTCGAGAACAGTCATATGGATAACTGGAAGCAGGATTATGGAATTTTGGCAGTAAATATACAGTCAAGAACAACATAAGGTAGGTTCCTCTTTCAAGAAACAGATCCTTTACATTTCACATCATCGTTGGAAACATAAATATAGTTTATCGTCTTTCTTATGATTACATTTCTGTAAAACTTATAATTTGTGATATTGGTCTCGTAAAGGTCTTGTTAACTGTTAATATCAAAATTTTATAAAACTGAATTTTAGCATATTCATTAAATTTAGCATTGTTATATAAGCCATTGGTGTTAAAACTTTTGAAATTTGAATGTACTATTTAGAAATGTTTTACAAGTTTGTGCTTTAAATATGCTAAAATGTCATAAATATAAAGTCTTAACAAAATAAAAAGATCGTGATTTAAATCTAAAGTTTTAAAAAATTACAAATTATATTTACCTTCAAATACATCGCACTTTCATTTCTAAGAATAAATACATGTAATATGCATACAGTGATAAAACATATGATCTACGTGATCTTAAAATAAACATTTTGTAACTTCTTATTTATACACATTTAGGCCAGTAGTAAAACAAGTAGTCTGGACCGCTTAAGTTTTATTCAATTTCAGATGTTTTGCCATCAATAACTAAATTTCACTCTACATTGTTAACACGCTTTAAATGACTTGTTACTTGTTCATTGTCATTTTCACCAGTACTTGACTATAGAAAGTCAGATTCTTTTCCCGTAGTCATTATATGTTCGGATTCATGGTAGTACACCCCTTATGCACTATCTCCAATTTGAAGAGTATTCAAATAGGCTAGATTCACTATAAAGTGTATTGAAACTGAGGGGCAGGGGTTCAAACCTTAGAAGGGGCAACTATTTTTTCTTTCTTTTTTTCTTTTTAACATTTTTATTATCTCTCAGATACCAGATATTTTCAAAGTTTAATAAAATATAAACTACACGGTAAAAGTATTTTATATTTTGCAAGACCAACCAATATACATTTAAACAATTTAGGCAAACCTTGAAATCAGCCCCTCATTGTGTAAAATTTTAGTGATATTTTAAATAAGGCTTTTTACATAGGGAAATTGTCAAATAAGTGTTAAAGGTGGGTGGGGTAGGGTTACATTTTTATACACATTAAAAGC